GAAAAAACGGAGCTAACTCAGTAACCCGTGGCCCGATTTTAACGAAACTTGTTTTATTCTGTTTCTATTCTCATTCCTATTCTCATTTCATTACAAATATGGCGCTATTGTGAGCCGTTTTTGTTGTTTTTAATTACAGACAAGCAAACAAATTAACAATCTCAGAGTTTTAGTAGTATATAGATAGATAGATTACAAAAATTTCCCGAAGATGGCATGCACCGCGACCCTACAGTACGGATTCCCTACTCATTTCTTTTCCCTTTAAAAGTAGCATCTCCCTTTATAGAATTCAGTATACACGCCTGTAAATTACGAAACTGCTGATAGTAACAGGCACACTAACTAATAAACTCGCTAACTCAATAATCAGTCAACATCTACTCTAGACTTACTAGCGTTTTATATTCTTCGAACTATTTCCCAAACTTTCAAGAAGGCTTCAGTCACTAGGCCACCTGAAGTTAAAGCCTCTCTATGACGAAAGAATAATATAAACATCTGAAGTAAAAAATAAACATAACCCAAAACAGTGTTATATGAAGTACTGGCTCATACAATGTAGTTTATACCTTTAATAGCTTATAATAACATTATTCTAAGAATGACAGTGCCACTTTGATATATGTTCCCTTACTATTAAGACCTTAAGAATCTGTTTTTGTATTTATTAATTTGTTTGTTTATGACTAGTTCTTTTGCAAACTCTCCGCGCATGTAATGACACATCATGTTATAAAATGTACAGTGGTGCTGCTTTTGTGTGTGTGCATGTCTCTCTCTCTCTCTCTATATATATATATATATATTGTCCCTAATGAATAAATTAGGCAAAGGCTCAAACAAAACTAAAGACAACGAATGCATGTTATCTTTCTTATACAAAGACACAATGAAATGTCTATAATAGCCATACTTGTAATTATATACTGGCAAGATGTTTTGTGAGATGATTCGTAGTTTCACTTTTTTATAACCAACTTATCTCAGTGTTGAACCACTTAATGTGACATTTCTAGAAATTATATTCCAATTATTTTCCATTTCATTTCTCATATCGGTTTTTCTCGAGGCTCCACAAAGCTTCGATTTTGATATATTGCCTGAATGTGATGTCGAAGTGACATGTCGATTGTAATTGATAGCATATAGCGAAAATGAATGTAGTGTTCGCTTTCCAGTAGAGATAGAAGGATTCTACATATATTTTAGATCTGAAATTAGGTTCTCAGTTTAAAATATAACATAACATTTATAGGCAATAAAGGACCATTGATGCTGTCCTATCTATTAAATTAAACTAGACTTAAAAAAAGCAAAGCTAGCTCTTATCATTCAAATATTTACAAAGCCTTCCCTTAACTCCTCCGCAAATCTACTGCATCCACAACATTTGAAGGTCAAACAACTACCCTGTTAGAAAATTAAAACACTCCTCTACTGAAATTTACACTTGTGTCCTCTTGTTCTGTCATTCTCACCATTAAGTACGAAAAAAGATTATGCATCGACATTATCAATTCCATTAACAACCTTAAAAATTTCAAATAGAATCACTCTAACTCTTCTTTCTTTTTTTTTTTTTTTTACAGAACACTTTCACCATCTTAACCTGTCTTCGAATGACAGCCCTTCCATCCCAGGTATTATAGTACTCTTTTGAACCTTTTCCTACAATTCAAAGTTCTTCTTAAGGTAAGGAGCCGAAGACCGAATATTCCGATAGAGGTCTAACCAATGACCTATACAATGAAAATATGATATCTTTAAATTTATATTCAGAATTTCTGTAAATACAATCTAAAATCCAATTTGCCCTCCTACTAGCAATAGTACACTGCTTGGATGATTTAAGAGGCTGATTAACCAAAACACCGAGATCCTTTTCTTCCATAACGCTATCGAGGTTATTCCCAAAATAATTATACTGATACTTTAACTTGCACTTAAGCCCTATGCATTACTTTGCATTTATTATGATTACTTATCCAACTCACGAAATAATCTAAATCCATTTGTAAAGCAGCAACATCCTTATAACAGCCAGAAAAACCAAAAAAATCAGTACAAACATCGAAAATTGTTGTTTACATATAATACTAAAAAAGAACATAAGCTTATAAAATATATTATTTTCTAAATCAGTAAAACGCAAAAGAAAAACTACTCCAATGATTAATCTGCATGTAGCTTATATTAATTGAAACTGTCAAATTTCTTTCAATTTATAATATTCTGCACAATATCAACTTTAGACTCAACATCATACTTGTTAGTAATACAGAAGTAACAAAGTGGAAGTTAAAGTGTGTAAATTGAAGTTAAAGTTATTTGTACTTTGACTGCTGAAAAAATAAGATTTTAACTGAAAATCTTATAAGAAAAATGTTAAATTACAAAATAAGAAAGAATGATATCGAAATTTAATTAATTTAAATAAAATTTTTCTTTAATAAAAGTTGCTACTAACAAGTTTTATTCATGAAAATTTAAAATTAATTTTGGGTGTGGATTCTAATGCTGGTCTTATAATGAGCAAGCTATAGTTATATTTTAATAAAAATGAAACGTATTGTTTTTAGTCAAAATATATAAACTAAAACACAGTGAAACTTATATATATATTGTAGAATTTACAAAGCTGAAAGTTTTGCTATCCAGATCTGTTTTCAAATATTCAATTGTATATTTAATGAGTGTTTTTCACTGTGACTAGAAGTTAGAACCGGTAACAAACATTCTTGAAAAATGTCGTAGAGTGGCTAGGCCTAACGTAAAGTTATTATTATTGGGGTTTGTTAAAGAAGTAAAGAGAACTATTTTATAGCTTTTCCATGAGTATTTAGGAAAAAGAAGAGAATTTATCCATTAAAATATTAGGCATATGGCATTATTTTTTTATTATTTTTAAACTATTTATTTTGACATAATTATGATATTTTAAATTAAGATTTCTGATATACTGGGCCTGATCAACTACCGTTAGGCCTAAGTATTTTAAGATTTGGGCATCAGAAGGGTTAGCTCGACAGTCGTGTTTTTTGTTTTTTTTTCAAACTCGTACAAACGTGACAATCACTACTGATGTTAGTTTCGATTCCAACAAGGAGCCTTAATCTAGGCTTACTATATGCTGTTTTCTTCGTTTTGTTTGACATTCTAACCTCATCATTCATTGTATTATAGCTTCATCACTCATTTGGATGAAACATTCGTTTGTTACAAAACGATTTTGACATTTTTATCGAAGAAAAGTATACCACGTATGTATTGAGTTTATTTTACTTGATATTGTTAAATCGTTCCTTGAAGATGAGCAAGTTATCATTCAGAGCACGTGCACTAGATGCTTCAAAACCAATGCCAATATTCAGGTCAGAAGAAATTCCAGACCTACCTGATTTTGCAGCAATCAATCGAGCAGTACCTCAGATGCCAACTGGAATGGAGAAAGAAGAAGAATGTGTAAGTACCTATAAATGTTGTAATGTTTTGTGGAGTATGTTTGTGATTAAAAAAAAAACAACAAATATATTGAAACTTGATAGGTTCAGTAATTTGAGTAATAGTCATTCTCATAGCATTAATTGCATAAGATATTTCTTTTTGGAAATATGTTTTAATTTTTTCCAGAAAGAATGATGTGCTTTAAAAGTACTTGTAAACTAAGTGCAAGCACATGTACATAGGTTTCATAAATATTATTCAATTGAATTCTTTCAAAACTTCAGTTGCCTTTTCAAGCATTATTTTTGTTGTTGAAGATGTTTAATTTAAAATAAAAAAGACATTCCAACCATCATTTCAATCGGTAAAGGTTATTATGTTACATTGACATAAATACATTAATTTAATCTTGTAAACAACAACTCTAATTATAATAAATATTGCTACTATCAAAGAATGGCTTTCTATACAGTTAAAAGAGTTAAAGTGAGAGAACAGTTGGGGATAAGTGATAATTGCATATATATATATATGTTTGATGTTTTGGTAAGATCCCAGTTCGTCTACTCCCATTGTCAGTAGACTGAATGGGAGTAAACGAAATGGGAATAAACCTAAAAAAATTCAATCATCAGGTTGCCAAATGTAGAATAAGGTTTAGATAGAAAAATCACTTTGCCACAGTCTTAAAAACAAAGCATTTTTGTATTTATGCTGTTTACAATATGATGCAGTAGACTTTTAAAACATTCACACATAGATATTTTTATGTACATGCACATATACACCACAAATATATCACAAAAACCTAGCTTGTTTTCAAGAAATTTTAATACTGCCTTAAAGTTTTTCATTTACAAAGTGGCATACCAAGTTTAGAGAAAAAAATATGAAATATTCATTTTGGTATATGAGTACATTAGAGTAGACTAAGTGGGAATAAACCGATGTATTGTACATGATAAGATAGAACTAAAAATGAGAGAGAAACCAGCAGGATCGGCAATTAAAAGTAATTATCAGATTTAATATTAAAATATTATTATCTTGAAATACGTAGAAAAAAATGCATTTTTGACACCTATTTCAAGTCAAAGGTGTTAACGGAAATTTACATTTTGTCCAAAAAGGTAACTGTTTTGTACAAAAAAACATTTTCATCATTATTTGCCATAATGTAAAATCCACTATTTCAAATGTTCGAGCCAATTTTCAACACCTCCATACAATACTTAAAGACATATCAAAATCTCTAATTGTAGATTTGAAAAATGGGGTCAAAGGTTAATAAACCTATGTGAACATAATGAGCCGAAAAACTTATTGAACTGTAATATGATATAAGTGGTGAATTTGAACTGTGTAAAGAGTGTTTTCATGTACTGTATATGACTGTTTTATTCTTGTAACATGTTCTATAATAATACATGAACTGAATTTCATTTCATCTGGGAATGCATTTGGGGCCACTCAAGATTAAAATGATTATGATAGAAAAATAAATGATTATAAGTACATACAAATACATTCAAAATGACTGAAAACAAACAAATAAATAATAACGTAGACCAAACAAGTGCAATAATACTGGTCATTAACCCCTTCCATGTAAGATTTTGTTTGGAAATGAACTTAAGAAAAGTCAGGCTTTTTATTTTGTTTTTTGATAGCCTATATATATATTAATGAACCAAAAGTTCTTTTATGATATATTATTATGTTTCTGCAAAAAATATACTCTATAAATATTACATATCTAGATTTATACGGGATATAATTTCAATGAAGCTACAATTTTTCTCCAGTGCTTATGATATATATAATTCAGAATAAATCCAGTGAAGATCAGAACAAACAGTACTTCCAATGCTGTTTAGTCAGCACTAATTGTAATTCATGCTAAAATGTGAATAAATTTGGATAAATAATTAAAAATACAGCAAAAAATGGTTTGCCTTAATTAACTTTGCCTTATGGAACATGTTACAAGAATTAAAAATGTCGTATACACAAAATTTGTATTTAAATAGTCCAAATTCACATCTTGTATTCACAGTACTGTATTCTTTTGCCTCATAACATTTACATAAGCTTGTGGACCATTGACACCCATATTTTAACCCCTCCTAAACTTACCTTGTTCAGATATCTTGATAAGATTTGAAGTGCTGTGATATAGATGATTTTCTGTTCAAACATTGTTCAAAAACTCAGAACTGTGGATTTAGCATAATGGTAAATGATGAGGAAATGCTGGCATATTTTACTTTTCAGTAATACATCTTTTTTAATCATAAATAAATTCCAATAATACCATGAAAAGTAAACATATTCATGAAAAAATATGACTTGCATGAAAGTCTTTTGTAGTTAAGTGTTTGAAGTTGTTAAAATGACTTTTTATAAATGTCTTATTTGCATATGTAAAAAGTTTTTGGTACATTACACCTATCTCTGGACAAAACATAAATATCCACTATTTTGTTTCTGTTAATCCCATTCACCTGAATTTGTTGTAAGAAATTCCATATTCTCTATGTATTTTATAAGATATTACTTGAATACTATCTCTGATACTGACCTTTGGTTGCTGTGATCTTTTCAGTCCTGCACCAGTTTTTAATTTCAGAAAGGCGTTTGTGAGGCCATGAAACAACATTTGGGATAACGGGCATTTTTTTACCACTACTTTGCCTCCTGTTGATTGATGTTTGCTAAATTTGGTATTGAGTTTCATTAGGTCCATGCAGGGGTACATACAAATTTGCAGTTTTTATGAGCATTTTTGCATATTTTACCACTACGTCACCAACTGAGGATGGATCTTCACCAAATTTGGCATGAAGGTTTGTTGGGTCCATGGGGAAGATACATACACATTTTCAGTTTTGCATTTTGCAGTTTTTATGGGTGTTTGTGCATTTTTTACAATTACATATAAGGGAAGCAACTTTTCATGTTCTTAGATAACCTTTGATTAATCATGAATTTACACAACGTCCATCCAGGGGATGGGTACTCCAGCTAGTTAAGTAATATATTAACAAAATATGTACAATATATACCAACAGAATGCATGTTTATAAAGGGGGAAGTGCTATAAAGTAGTGTACACGCCGCCTGATATAGACAATGGAAAGAGTGTGGACTTGGTATATTTAAAATTTCCAAAAATGCTTTGGATATGGTGCCACACAAAAGATCAGCTAAGAAACTTACATTGCAAGGGTTGTGGGAGATTCTAATTATTTGAATTGTAGGATAGTTGTATTGGAGAAAGCAAATGGTAATTACTAACATCTTTACAGTGGCTAAAGCATTTACTCCCTGGGCAGAACATTTTTTATTTTGGTAATTTTGTTATAATGTTTCTGTTTTTGCTATATAGTTTAAAAGCCACTAATACAAATTGCTTTAAAGTTTATAGTAGTTTCCATTGTTTTGTGACATTACATTCATTGATTTTTTAGTATTACATCTTTAGTATTTGTTATAATCTTTTTTTGTAAGTAATAAATGTAACTTTCAAATAGTACTTTTTCTGTAATTTTAATTGTTAAGGGAATTGATAGAGTCGATGGATCATGTTTTTTCATATTTTAATGGTGGGAATAGTAGGATTAGGAGACACAGATATAAATTTTGGCAGAGTAGAAGTAATCTTCATCTCTGACAGCTTTATTTTTCTAACACTGTGGTTAGCCTTTGAAATGGGTTTCCTTCAGATAATATGGAAACAGTATATTTATAGGAGTTTAAGGGAAGACTTGATAAATGTTTGAATGATAAATTCTGGCTTTGAGTTTGTTATTATTAATATTATTCTATAGCTTAGTTTAATGGATGGACAGCGTAGATGGACCAACAGGTCCCTTGTTGTTTTTGAATGTTGTATTAAATCATTTGCACAACATTTGTAGGTCCCTTCCTCTCAGTTATGTGTCATGTAACTTGTTTATCATGATATAGCTAGGTGCCACATACTTTATAGGCATCCAGTATTTGAAAGTTATGAGGATTCTCTTAAATTCACTGCATAGTTGATCCTGTTTTTTTTCAAATCTGTTATGGTTAAACAGCAATATACAGTTCCATAAGTGAAGCATAGAATACCAGAGAAGCTCCAGGATATATCCCAAAACTTCTGTAAAATCATGTTATCTAGCTGAAAATATGGGGTAGTCATTATGACTTTCATGTGAGCTACACAACACATGTATAATATAACTAGTACAGAATTTAAGGATTCCTTTGGGATGCATCATACATTTGTGGAGGGATTTAGGGAAAGAAGGTTAGTATATGTTGTAGATAGTACGGCATAATGAACAATTAGTTGAATTTCCTAATCAATTAATGGTCAGGCTTATTAATCAGTTACATTAAAAAAATTGTTTATTCTCATGACATGGCTAAAAAAAAACAAATGATAGATAGTGATTCTGCAGCTCTGTACTTAACAACAAACAAATATAGTGGAAATATTTCAATTAGTTGATTATTTTTCTGAGTTGCGCCACTAATCAATTAAGCTGAACAAACTTGAAATTAATCAAAAATAACAAGAAAAACCATAATGGCAATATTTTACATAATTGTTTATTTCATTAAATTAATTAATTTAATTGTTCATGTTGTTGATTATTGGATAGTTGGAATAATTGGAAAAAACTAATATTTATTAGTTGATTATTTTTGTGACATTAATTGATGTAATCATGATTTTGATTACTTGACAGTTGGAATAATAAGAAACACTAGTTGATTGTTTTTGTGACATTATTCCATTGACTGCTGATTCGTCGTATAGGGTATGATCTGCCTCTGGCAGTTGAATATGAGTGTGCCATATAAGGTGTATGGCTTGCAAAAATTCTGCATGCATTTAGAGTAGCTGCAGTCAATGGGGTAATTGATTCATCAAAATTATGATTAATTGATTATTTTGTGTGACACTAATCAATGCTCATAGGTAATCAGGTATATTGATTAATTAAGTTAATTGCACAGTTCTGTAA